ATATATAATTATACACATGGCTTTTCTGCTATTCTGTTGTACTTTGACAATGATGTAATTTTTTTCATATTTTTTATAATAAAAATTATATGTAAATTTATATCTGTTAAAATAAATTTTAAGTATAAGAATTATTAATACATTAGGAATATTTGTTTAATAAATTATCTTTGTATAAAGTTAAAACAATCTTTTAAATATTAAAATTTTGAGTTTATCAGAATCACAAATCTAACATTTTTTTATATAAAGTTTAATTTTTTAAAATAATAATAGTCAAATATGAATAATTATTTTTAGAACTGTTAAGTTGATATTTGTAATTTTTAATTTACACATGGGTTATATTTTAGAATGTCTTCACAAATATAAAACTGATATATGGCTTCTAGATTGATATCTATTCTTATTTTTAATTAATGAAGAGTAATTTTTATATAGAAAAGGGAGAGTAATTAAAAAAATACCTCAGATGCTGGAAAAGGATATAAATACTCATAAATTTTATGTATTAGTTCCAGCAGATAAATTAATGTAAAAGAATAACTAAAATAATGTTAGTTTGGTTATTTTTTTGTGTTAAATCTATCTGCTGGAATCAATACATAAGTGTCGGAGAGTAATTATCCAAGATAAGTGAGAAGTTGAATTTACAGGAACAAAAATTTTAGTCAATATCTATACTGACTTATATGATTTTAATAAATGTCAATTTATTATTGTTATATGTCAATTTATTGTTAATTACTATGATGCATTTAAGCTATTGAATCATTACATGTTATGAATGTAATATATTCTAATATTGTAATTATATATTTTAAGCAGATTATTAAAGATTATCATTGGTTTATTTTTTATTAAATGTGTTATTTCAAAATATTCATTAATAATTAAATTTTACCTACCAGTATTTTTGCAATTAAATAATTCTTAATCAAGAATTATTTAAATAGTAGACATTACTATAAAAGTGTTGTAATTCAAAATGAGAATTTTATTTTTTTCCACTCCTCTTCTTTCTAATCTGATACTGAAAACAGGACTCTGAGAAAAATAAGAGAAAATAATTGAATATCAAATTTAATGACAAAATAAATTTATTTATTTACAAATTTTTTATAAAATTAAATATAATTGGAAAATATAAAGAAAATATTTAAAATTTATATCTTTTATAATAATAATAATAAAATAGCAAAAACAACTTAATATATTACTTCTTTTCAGTAGCCATTTAAAACAGAATATAAAAATGACAGTTGAAAAAGTTTTAGGTTACTTCTTACAATCAAAGTATCCAAGTTCAATGAAGTAAGTAAAAATTTATTTATATTTGTTCATAAATCTTAATAAACTTTATTTATCTTTTATTACACAATCTATTTTTTTTTTTTTTTAGTTTCTGGAAAATATGTCATGAGCCTTACAAAACAACAGCTCCATTTCCTCATATATTTAATTCAAAAATTAATGTAAGAGGGTACATAGGAAGTTCACACAGAACAGTTGGAACAGGTTATTTTTATTTAATAAAATTTCATTACTTTATATTCATTACTTCATTGAATATTTAAAATTTACTAATAGTAATAAATAAATAAATCTTTCTATTAAAATAATAATATATCTAAATATAGTATTAATCTATAGTATTTTAACATCAGTTTTAATTTTTAATTTATATTAATATTTTTACTTACTGATTTACAAATGAATACATGATAAAATAATATAAACTGACTTATATATTTATTATATTATATTTATATTTTATAATAAATATCCAATATAACAATAATGTTTCATTTATTTATAAATTTATCTACAATGATTTATAAATAATTATATTTCTGCAAAATACAGTGTAAATTAGTCTAGATTATTTTTTAAATATATTGATTTCACATATAAATCAACTGTGCTACTTAAATGAATTTTGCATAAATGGTAATTCTATAAGTAATAGTTATGGGAACTAATTAAAACTCTAAATATACAAATTTTAAATCTAATTAGAAAAACTAAATTAAACTTTTCTTATTCATATACAGTACAGTCGACCCCCCTATAACACGGGTTCCTATATCACGGTGAAAAAATTGCGACAGTATTCGTACAAACATGCTAAAAAAACTCGTATAATTTGGTAAAACATCATCGCCGACTTGTGTCATGACAGGATTAGTCGAATATAGACCAATAGCGGATATTGTACAAACCGTTGAGTTTAAACGAGCAGCGGACCTACTAAAAACCATTTATTATTTAACATCCATAAAAATTATATTTATATTAATGATGTCTCCAAAGTTCAGCAGATTTTTCACAAAAAAAATAATTTATCAGGAAGCATGCGAGTGCCATTCGATGAAAGCTCCACAACGAAAATAAGCTTAAGCAATGGCGTAGTTGAACGGTGCACACTCGGTACGTAATCCTACAATTTTTTGTTTATAGCATAGTTTATATGGATTATTCCCAAAAAATTATACGTATTTTGGAAATGTTGAGTCGAATNTTCTAATCTGATACTGAAAACAGGACTCTGAGAAAAATAAGAGAAAATAATTGAATATCAAATTTAATGACAAAATAAATTTATTTATTTACAAATTTTTTATAAAATTAAATATAATTGGAAAATATAAAGAAAATATTTAAAATTTATATCTTTTATAATAATAATAATAAAATAGCAAAAACAACTTAATATATTACTTCTTTTCAGTAGCCATTTAAAACAGAATATAAAAATGACAGTTGAAAAAGTTTTAGGTTACTTCTTACAATCAAAGTATCCAAGTTCAATGAAGTAAGTAAAAATTTATTTATATTTGTTCATAAATCTTAATAAACTTTATTTATCTTTTATTACACAATCTATTTTTTTTTTTTTTTAGTTTCTGGAAAATATGTCATGAGCCTTACAAAACAACAGCTCCATTTCCTCATATATTTAATTCAAAAATTAATGTAAGAGGGTACATAGGAAGTTCACACAGAACAGTTGGAACAGGTTATTTTTATTTAATAAAATTTCATTACTTTATATTCATTACTTCATTGAATATTTAAAATTTACTAATAGTAATAAATAAATAAATCTTTCTATTAAAATAATAATATATCTAAATATAGTATTAATCTATAGTATTTTAACATCAGTTTTAATTTTTAATTTATATTAATATTTTTACTTACTGATTTACAAATGAATACATGATAAAATAATATAAACTGACTTATATATTTATTATATTATATTTATATTTTATAATAAATATCCAATATAACAATAATGTTTCATTTATTTATAAATTTATCTACAATGATTTATAAATAATTATATTTCTGCAAAATACAGTGTAAATTAGTCTAGATTATTTTTTAAATATATTGATTTCACATATAAATCAACTGTGCTACTTAAATGAATTTTGCATAAATGGTAATTCTATAAGTAATAGTTATGGGAACTAATTAAAACTCTAAATATACAAATTTTAAATCTAATTAGAAAAACTAAATTAAACTTTTCTTATTCATATACAGTACAGTCGACCCCCCTATAACACGGGTTCCTATATCACGGTGAAAAAATTGCGACAGTATTCGTACAAACATGCTAAAAAAACTCGTATAATTTGGTAAAACATCATCGCCGACTTGTGTCATGACAGGATTAGTCGAATATAGACCAATAGCGGATATTGTACAAACTGTTGAGTTTAAACGAGCAGCGGACCTACTAAAAACCATTTATTATTTAACATCCATAAAAATTATATTTATATTAATGATGTCTCCAAAGTTCAGCAGATTTTTCACAAAAAAAATAATTTATCAGGAAGCATGCGAGTGCCATTCGATGAAAGCTCCACAACGAAAATAAGCTTAAGCAATGGCGTAGTTGAACGGTGCACACTCGGTACGTAATCCTACAATTTTTTGTTTATAGCATAGTTTATATGGATTATTCCCAAAAAATTATAAGTATTTTGGAAATGTTGAGTCGAATTAGTCTAGAATTGATTAAGTTTTTGGAAGAAACCTTTCAAACAGCTGTAGTCTGTAAACTGCATACATGCCGGGCTGTGATTGGCTGGACTCATAGAAAATGGATTCATAAAAATTGGAACACATCTACCGTGTTATAGGGGGTCGACTGTATTAATATTTTTTTTAAAATCCTTTTATTTTAATCCTATTGATTAAAATTAAAGACCTATAAAATTAGGCTTTAATCCTCACCCAGTTAGAAGTAAAGATGAATACAAAAGGAAATGTTTTAAGTTCAAAGTATGAAAAATAAACAGAAAAACGGTTTTTATGGAGTAATAATACAAAAAATTTTAATGATCTTGAGCAAATATTATTTATTAATAATCACAATTTAAGGGTGATAAATTGTAACAAAGAAATATTGATACTTCTGCATTCATAGGAAGTAAGCAATTTTGTTGGTTGTCATAACTTTTTGCAGCTTTTCTGAACATATTGTACTGTACATTCACTAAATACACTGCTTGGTGTGGTTTTACTTTTCATTACATGATGATGATCTTTTAAAGATAAAAACATATAATTTTTATAATTGAATAGATGAAGCTACCCTCCACTTTACTCTAAGGCCTAGAGCAGTGATTTTCAATCGTTGTGCCACAAAAATTTTTGAAGGTTATTAAACAAATTATTTTTGAAAGAAGCCTGAAGAACAATAAGTGTACATGTCAAAATTAAAACCTCTTTAAATTGATCATACAAGTTTTTCATTGTTATAATAAATAAACATATACATAATGTAGTAGAAAATATATATTTATAAACAAAATTATATGTGCATAACACTGGTTTATTTCATTTAAAATGAAATTTTCTTTTAATCAAAAACATACCTATAATTGTCTGTATTTAGTTCAAATTATTTTAACTTGGAAATAGTGGAATGTTGGGCAGATTTATAAAAGCAATTATCATACCACTTTTAAATGCAAATTAAGACTTAATGTTAATTGCTTTTCTTATGTAAATGAAAATTATTAGTTTAAATAACTATTGTTGTACCTGCTGTTATTTTAAGGAAGAAGAATACTATTTTATTTAATTCACAAAAATATAGACAAAAAGAATTAGGTTAAGTGGCAAGTAATGTGACAATAGAATGTTTACAAATACAACTTTAAATCATGTGATTTATTTCGAGGAAATTTTTGCTGCGGAAATTTAATTATAGGTTCAAATATGCCATTAAATGAAAAAGGGTGAAAAACACTGACCTCTATAATCTAAGCCTGTTTCAGGCAGTTTCAAATAAACAAACTGATATTCAGTAGTCAGAAAGTCAAGAATATTTAGTATTTGATATTTGGTATACATTAGCATCAGAAGCTAATGATTTGAGAGCTTTCTGGAGAATAATTAATAGTTTTCGTAACAGAAAGTTAGGGTTGGAAAAACAGACTAGAGTAGAATATAACGTTTGGCTTAAATACTACAATAAATTCTTTGAGAATTACCAGAAAAATGTTTGTAAAAAATATATGGTAACTAAGACAAGACCAGAAATTCAGCAAGATGAGATAATCAAGATGGAAGAAGTACAGGATTGTATCAAAAACTTAAAGACAAATCAACACCGGGATCGGACACAATACCAAATTCACTCATTAAAATATTGCCAATAGAAATCATAAGATATTTAACTAGACAATTTAATCAATTCTATAGTAATAGTATAATACCGGCAAAATGGAACGAAGTTATTTTTACTATGATATTTAAACAAGGGAACAAACAGGAACCAACCAATTATAGACCAATAGCCCTTCTGTCATGTCTACGGAAAGTATTTACCGCATTATTTGCTAATAAATTTAATAACTGGACAGCGGTGAATAATTATAGAAATAATACACAATTTGCATATGTAGAAGGGGGGGTACTCAGACTGCCCTTTTTGTGTTGCTGTCATTAATTCAAATCCAGTTGCTTAAAAAAAGACAAAGTGTTTGCCCTGTTTTTGGATCTTGAAAAAGCATACGATATGATTAGCATTACTGATCTACAGAATAAAATGAAGAGATATAAGGCAAAAGAACTCTTGATAAATATGATAGAGTTGTTATTCGGAAAATATAAGACAATTATTAGTTTTGTAACGAATAGTATATTCGGCCTCAGGCCGAACATTCGGCCAAACTATTTGGCTTGATTAACGCACGTACGAAAATTGGCGCGCAAACTGCATATTGTCAGGACCTGCTCTCCATTGGCCCTCTGTCATTACGCTTCGCCAATCGCGTTAATTCTTGACAGTTCAGACAAGAGCGTCATGGCAGTATGTGATAAATGACAATATCAAATGTGAATAACAATGAAATGATCTACACATGTAAATAACGGAAAAAGAACAGAGAAAGACCGCAAAGTGAAAATGTGAAAATAAATATGAAATTGAGTTGCTAGCATAATAGAACAAGTCGAAGCAGCTTATTGGTGCCAAATTTGCGGCCGTCAATGCCAAACAGGCGTTGTCATAGACTTCGGAAAGCTTAATGCTTGTAATGAAAGTCACTTAGCGTGCACGGGCGAAAGCCTGGTACCGTTCGTGCTATCAAGCTGTCTCGAATCTGTGAAATCATAACTGTGACATATACCGATGTCCTATCTGTCTCTTTTCTACGTTATCACCAGGCTATGAGTCACGTAATTATAAAATGGAAAAACAATGACGGAAAAGTGACGAATCGAAAGTATCGTGAGCGCGTATTATGATGTATGCATAGGCATATGTAGACTAGAGAGATAGAGGAAAGAGAAAGAAAAGAGCAAAGACAAGCGCTTAAAAAGAATAGACAGGGTCAGACCCTCAGATGTGTGTGACGATTCTCGAACGAATAGGTGTACGTGTGCTGATATTTGTAATTATAAATTGTAAATACATGTGACTAATATTATTTTTTTTATTTTGTGAATGTTATAAGTTATAAATAAATATAAACAAACAACACTAACCTGATAACATTAAATCTAAATACCAAAATGATTAATTTACTGTGTTTTTGTTATTTCTTACTCCTGTTTTTAGGTATTCGGTATTAGGCCGAATAGTGATTAAATATTCGGTATTCGGCCGAATAGCGAAAAATAGGCTGAATACCGAATAGTAACCGAATATTCGTTACATCCCTAACAATTATAAAACAGGATACTAATATCTGGACACCATTCATCACTTACATAGGTCTACTACAAGGTGATCCGTTATCCCCATATCTGTTCAATTTTTACCTATTTGATCTAAATGAATGTTTTAAAAGAGATGAAGATGGGTTTCAAATTGAAAATCAAATAATACATACTATATCGTATGCCGATGACATTGTGTTGATAGCTCCTACAACAGCTGCACTCCATAGAAAAATCCAACAAATCTGTGAGTGCTTAGAAAAGCTGAGAGTTAAAATAAATTCCAAGAAATCAACAATTATGATATTTAGAAACGGAAGTAACGTATCTAAATAGCATATGTCTTTTTTTATTAATAAAGAAGAAGTGAAAATAGTGAAGGAAATTAAATTTTTAGAAGTAACATTCACACCTAATCTCTCATTCGAAAAACACTATAAAAATTCACTAAATAAAGCAAAAAATGCAATAAATAATTTAATTGGACTATTCTGCAAGGCAAAAATAAAGTATTTATGTACACATTTTCAACTTTTTAATTCGATAGTGATGAATTCAATGGGCTATGCGATCCCAGTTTGGAACATGGAAAAATTCAAGGACTTTGAAAAAATACAGAATATATTTATACATAAGATATTCCAGCTAGAATATAATATCCCAGGTAGTGCTTTAAGATTAGAAACAAACAGATTAAGGTTAAATACTATACTAATAAAAAGATATTTAAGATTCTTACTCAAAATTATTAAGGCAGAAGATATAACAACAAAACTGCTGTTCATACTATATCACAAATCAAGAGAAATAGACTTAAGACGAAGTTGGATAATTCAGCTATTGAAGATAATAAATAAATATGGATTTTCAATTAAACTGTTCATGGATCGTACATATAATATGGAGCAGTATAGTAAAGATATAATATATAGAGTTATGGAATACTCTACTATCCAAGACATTGAAGATATATGAAAACAAGAAAGCACAAGCTGGTATGCAATAATTCTAAATTATCCAACAAATAACAACTATATACTGACAAATATAGCTTTTAACATTAAAAAGTTTTTTATACAGATTAGATTAAATAAAAATGGAATAAATATAAATGGTAAATATATGGACTACAACCAATCTAAATGTCCAAACTGTACCAAAAATTTATCCAAAATCCATATTATATGTGAACATTGTAATGAAAAGGATAAACTTCAAAGGCTCAAGATTGGGCCACTGGCTAAATGTACTAATGAGTTGGAAATGTATAAGACATTTGATAGAGCTAATGTAAACACGATCTATATGTTATATAACTATGTTAAACAACTAATTNTACACCAATTCCTGTTGAAGACCATTCCTATCTAAATGATGTTTTAAATAGTTCAAATAATGTGAACTTAGTTCCACTTACTCCTTGCTGCAATATTGAAGAATTTGATATAATTTCTCAATTTATCAATATTCGTGGTTTACCTGAATCAAAATTTTTTAATAGCCATTTAAAACAGAATATAAAAATGACAGTTGAAAAAGTTTTAGGTTACTTCTTACAATCATAGTATCCAAGTTCAATGAATTTCTGGAAAATATGTCATGAGCCTTACAAAACAACAGCTCCATTTCCTCATATATTTAATTCAAAAATTAATGTTAGAGGGTACATAGGAAGTTCACACAGAACAGTTGGAACAGGTGTTGAAAGCATTTCTGCAATATCAGGATTTCATAATACTAAGAATGCATCTGACTCAATAAATGTTTTGTTGCAATCGACAGATAAATCAAAATTAAAAAATTTTTCATGCAAAGAGACAGGAGTAGAATCTGATGATTTTGAAGAAGCCTTAGAAAATTTAAAAGTTTTAGTTGATTGTTATAAAGACAGATAACTGTTTAAATATCAAATTAATTTTGCTTTTATAAAATATTTTAAATTAAAATAAGCGTATACTTGTGACTTATTAAAAAGAAAAAGATATTCTTTGAAAGCTGGTTAAATATTTTAATATTAAAACATGATTTAACATTGCCTGTTAATACAACATTTTTAATTTAATAACATTTGTTATGGATTTTTCACAAAATATTTTCTTGGAACTTGACAAAATATGATCACACATCCCATAATTTTGCACAAACTTCAAGGAATAAATCACATAATATGAGAAATTGTAAAAATGTACAATATTTTATTTTGTAAGAATATATAATTAAAATGTAAATATTCATTTTGTGCATTTAATATAAATCTTATATCTTCATACATTAAATATATTTTTGTTCATTTTATTAATGTTGGCATTGTATAATTTAGTAATTGACATTTTATAAGATAAATCTATAATAAACATTAAAAAGCTACTTATTTATTAGGAATATATTTTACTTGAATAAATAAATAAATGACTTTGTATCTTATAAATTTCATTAATGTTTGCTAATTAAAATATTTCTGGAGAGAATTGCAATATTTTTTATGAGAAATATATAATTAATGTTATGATTAGTAAATAAATTTTGCTTGGGTTTTGAGAGATTTTAATAACTGTTAACGGGGATTAAAGATGATGATATAATAAAATGCTGTCTGAAATCATTATCTGTGTTTAGTATTTATCATGAAGTCAACTCCCAGAAAATTGTAAAAAATACACTTAAGCAATTCCATATTCCAAAAGTTATTAAACTCAGTGCAAGATGAAATATAAGATGTTGCACGTTATAATTATTATTGTAAATATATGTGAACAGCCGGGGGCTATAGGGGGTTCTCTATTAAACCACTTATTGGGCATGGGTAGTGAAACTTGATACCAATGTCTGAGGATGGCTTATATAATTAGATTATGATCTTTTTAGCTTTATCTAGTCAAGACCTGACACCAGGTAAGAAAGGATTATTCGCGTCTTACTTCGCGATAAAAATATAAGATATCTCTAAAAAGGGGAGCTAATTTATATGAGCAGCGAGTATCGTGGATAAGTCGGTAGGGAGCCCGTTATTTAAAGGAAGATTACCAATAGACAGATTAACAAATAACGACTAAAAATTTAATGGGATGAATTTAAATATACATGAGTAGTTTAGGGTTGTCAGACTAGGATAATTTTGTAGAAGTTTAACAGTTTAAAACTTTTATTCCAGAGTCTGTCACCATTTTGAGGGAAAGACGTCGAGCAGGGGCAAAAATGCGACGGGTTCTGGCATAAATCCAATTTCGGTCGACCGTTTCTGGAATAATTAAAATGCCTCAGTGTCCTTTTTTTCCCCTACTAAAATATAAATATAAAAAAAGGACACTGAGGCATTTTAATTAAACAATATTTTTAATAATATATTTAGCCGAAATTCTGGTGTATCAGAAAATGCATAGTACTGTTCAGAAAACATGGAGAACAGGTATATTAAGTAAAATAAAAAATGTTTTTCTGTAAAACTTTTCAATATTTCTGTAGTGCCAGTATAATAAGTCCTGGTAATACAGTAGAGCCTCGAAAACTCGGCCTAATGTGGACCGAAGGGTGGCCGAGTTTGTGAAAATGCCGGGTTATCGGGAATGGGGTTAAAAAAGGATAATTATGCGTGTTTCCTCAGAAAATATTGTACTGTACTTGTATGTATTGTTTGCTTGAGAATACAACAGAGAATAAACTGCCCAAATACCCTTAAACAACGGAAAAGTACGTCCTTTATGAAGGCATAGAGCCTTTACTAAATGAAAATGAAAATTAATGAATACACTGTGTACAGTAATTTACCTGATAAGACAGACCTCAGAAAAATAGTTTACGAGAGCTTTCATACTTTTATAAAGCTGTCTATAATGAAAATTAATTAACTAAGGATTTTTTTACCCTGCCAAGGTGTGGTTGAGTTATCCGGAATGCCGGGTTATCGAGTGCCGAGTTTTCGAAGCTCTACTGTAGAAGATACGTTATTATAGACGAAAATTTACGTTTCTGGAATATTTTGTATTCCAGAATCTCGCACCTACCTTTTTTGATGCCCCTTCGGATATACTTTTCCGCGAGAGTTTCTGGGATAAATCGCCTCGGTTATTTAAATTTATATATATTTTTAAACTAACATATATGCCCCACCAGTGGGCGAGTGGTCTCCGTTGCCGCTCATCGTAGTGGTGACTAGACCCTGAAGACTGGGAGGTTCGTCGTGGGTTCGCGCCACGGTCGGACAGGCTGGCTGCTTGGAGTTTTCCGGGTTTTCTCCTTGCCTATAACGACTGAATAGGAGGCCAGTTCCCCATAAAAGTCCTCCCGGAAGGCATTTATTTCCCGCGCGTACGTATGGCTGTTCGTTACAGCCGGCTAATCGGTCGCCTAGCGATCATACACTTACACAAGTCTACTCGGAGAAAGAGCCTATAGTGAGTTATAATCTCCATATTAACATCATCGTAAGAAGAAGAAAGAAAGAAGAACTAACATATATATATATGAGAAATAATATTTATTTCTATTTATATATACATTTTAAGAGATTATTTTTTTGATCGTGCCATCTGTTCACGAAATTATTATTTAGACACATCGCGATTGTGTATGTTTTGTTTAAATAACGACAACAACGATACTCTCTCTTTTATTTGAAAAAAGAACAATTACATCAAAATAAACAAGGATCCGACTCTCCTCCACTCGCGTAAGGCGTAACTGAACGAAACGCCATCCTTGACAAGAAAGTAGGTCACCGACCTGTGGACGGAAGGAGAGGACTTCCCAACCACCCGGCGGCTCACAAGAGAGAGAGAGAGTTTACAAAATATATTACCTCACTTTTAACTTGACTTATAACAATTCTGTTGAAGTGTTGATCGAGGTTTTAGTGGAAGCGGTAAATTTCTCTTTGATCTCTAGGCAGAAGTTCCTATCCCAGGGAATTATTGCACACAAATTCATAAGAAAAGTATACTGGATGATGTGCCCGGAGTTTGGAGCGTATCCCTCTTTTACATCCCATTCTCTTCCATGGAGATTTGGATATTTAGTCATCTGACAATGATCTAAGTTTTACTAAACATGTAGTCATCGGATGAATACTTTCTAAGGAAGTAAACTTGTGGGAAAGTAAGTTGAATTTCCTTGTTTTCTCTCAAAAGTTAGAAAAATGTACTTTTTGTGACAAAATGTTATCTTAGTTTTGTATAACTTTTGTAGAATAAATTAAGTTAATACGCAGAATTTCACATATAACTATCCTTAGTTTCAAAGCTATACACATTGAAAACAATGCAGAAAAATAAATCATCGTAAATTTTTGGCCAAAAAAGTAGGAAAATACAGTTTCACAAGCTCTGTATTTACCTGATATGGAATCGTATGACTTTTTCCTGATTCTTTGACTAAGATTGTGGCAAGAATGGGACATTGACATCCGTCGGTATTCAGTTCACATATAAAAAACAGCTGATGGGATTCACACGATTTCCCTGACACTCAAACAGGAGGTTAAGGGAACCATTATAGTCTGATAATTTTTTAATTATACCAGGATATAAAGTTTGAATAATAAAATGTAAAAGGAGTAATTTCATTTAGTTGTGATAATTTCTCAATTTTTCAATAAATGTTTAAAATGGGCTATTATATGGGCAACTTTAGCAACCTTACAAAGAATGATAAAATTTCTGCAGTTCAGGGTGTCTTTTTATGGATTGTACCTGGTAGCAGTGTGGATTCTCGATTTTCTGGTGGGCCGTTTGTTCCGTTGCCTGCCTTTATTTTAATATGTTATATTTCACTCGAAAAAAATAAACAAAATACAAAGCTGTCTATCGTATTAAATTTAAAAAAGGTCTATTTTAATTCAAACCGCAATCTACCGTGGACACACTATACCAACAAACGTTCGGCTCGTGGCAAACACAATCTTATTTGAAATTAAAATGGTTCGATGTACATTTCTTTCTTTCATTGATTGATTGATATGAAGTGTTCAGCACATATAGGCTCTACTTCTTTCTTCTTCTTCTTCTTCTTCTTCTTAACAGTTTATATGGAGATATAGGCTCTATACTCCGAGAGAGCGAGGTTATGAACGTTAGGCGTCCGATTAGCCGGCCTTATAGATGGAATGGCCACATGCGCACAGGAAAAGAATGCCTTCCGGGAGATCTTTTAAGAGAAACTGGCCCCTATTCAGGCGTTACAGATGTGGAGAAAACCCCGAAAACTCCAAGTGGCCAGTCCGTCCAAGCGAAGTGCAAACCCACAACTGGGAGTTCATCTCAGTGTCCAGGAATGAAGACCACTTGGCCACTAGTGTTCGATGTACATTTTATGACTTCTGATTTAAAAATAACAAATCACTACTTGGACCGTAGGCCGTCGTGATGGGGCCTATATCGGACTAATGCTAGGTAATTGATGGCCATTGCTAAAAAAATCAAAATAGTGAATAATACCAATTAAGAGATTTATATTGACGAAATATATTTTTGCATTATATTTCTATTAACTCGTTTTTACTGTTTATTACTACAGTAGAGCGTCGATTATCCGAATCAATTGGGGGACTGGGGTTGTTCGGAAATTCGATGTTTCGGATAACCGATTGTGTACGAAAAAATATATCAATTTATTCCATGTTGAAATTTTTCTCTGTTGCGTGTCGCTTCGCGTTAAATTTTCGTCGATGTTAAGCCTAACGAAGACTATTGTATCGTTAAAAATTATTTTTTTATTTTGTACAAAAAAAATAAATATATTGAAAAATATAAAAACAATAAAAAATTATACTTCAGAAGTTAATTTAAAAAACGTAAAATATTTGAGTAACCCAAGACATAGCCAAAGATTGCAACGCCACAGCACTGGCGAAAATTTAAATTTGCGGACTGGAATTCTTTCGGATAATCGACGCTCTACTGTAATTTACTTTCTTGTAGGTCTTTGTGTATGACAGTGAAAAAGAAAAATTCATTTCATCACAGTACATACATAGACGGCCAGAAGGGGGAGAGGGTAAGATGGCAACTACCGCTTTAGGGGATCCGAGATCAAATCCGAACGGCTCAAAAAATCCCAGTAATATTTCAGGCCACTCCATTATGGACCTGCTAAAAAGGCTCTCTTTGTGTTCACAGGGTAGAAAAAGTTTAATTAAAGAAAAAAAGACGAATCTTCCATAATCAGGATTTTATTAATTAATTATATTTTCTATAAAAACACTTTATTACTTTTATCAAAAAATCTTCGATTTCTGAAACCAAATTTAATTTAATAGACGAATATAAAATCCAAAAATTATTTACGTTTATAAAGATATATAATATTAACAATAAGAAAAAACTTCAGAAGGCTACAGAGTAGGCCGTATGGCCGAGGTGCATCACTCCGCCGCTCTGGAGACCTGGGACCAAATCCGAGTGAATAACTCCCTAGAAATTTTTCACGGGTATGTCAGGCTCCATACATTCAGATGCTCCCACTGTGGGGATTATTTTTTTTAACTCTTTCCGCCCTGTGGGGCACTAAGAGGACCTCTTTTTAGTAGGCCCATTATAGGTTCGGCGAGGCCCACAATGGGGCGACCGGATGGTGACATATCCAGACAGACCACCCCCCGAAAAACTCCTTGTAAATTATTCGATCTCGGGTCCCCCAGAGCGGTAGGCTGCCACCTTAATCGCTCCGACCTCAAATGTCGTATTGTTGTAAATTAAATATTTTTTATTTCTTTTAAATAAAAAAAAACATATTATTTTTTAATAAACTATTTATATTTTTAGAAAACAATTTAACTGTAATTTTAATGCATTTCTTTCTCTTAAAATATGCGCAGGACACGATTTGAATTATATAACAGATGGCGCTGTTTTTAAGATGGCAGTTTAAATTTTGAGTTTTATTTGTAGGAGATTGTTTGTAGTGTTTCGAATCGTTTTAGTAGGAATTTAAATAATTTTATGGGTACGACGCATTGCAGTTAGGATGGGAAAATGCAGAATGGATCCGAATTTACAAATTCATCGTTGCAGAAATGTGATTCGGAGGAAAAATCCGAACCGATGTTTGCCACTACCTTCGACCATCTGCCAAATGAACTGCAGTTGAAGATCTTCTCTTATTTGACAACCGCCGAGTTGTGTCGCTACGTTGCACCCGTCTGTCGCGAATGGCGAGAGAAAGCCAAAGATCCCGTGCTATGGAAAGTCATAGTTTTGAAAGATGTTCACGTAGACTATTTAGACAAATTTTGCAGGATTTTGACTCGTGCTACCATGTTAAAGTGCCTGACTCTAAGAGCTCTCTCCTGCCCGTTGCAAGATTTTGCTCGTTGCTCATTATCATTTCCTCTTTTGACTCATCTTGATTTAGGCTTTTGTAATGATGTAAATCCTCAGATCATCTCCATTTTTGTATCCAACTGCCGTCTGATTTCGGTTTTAAATGTCGAAGGTTGTTTGGGTATCAATCAAGCAGCCGTCAATATTATTTCCACTCTAAAATATCTACGTTCGCTTAATCTGTCCCATTGCACGTTTCTGAGTAATCCTGCCATTGTGAGACTTGCCAAAAATTGTCCCAGATTGCAGGAATTGAATGTCGATGGCATAACAAGGATTACGGATAGGTAATCGCTTTTCTGCATTCTTAAAGTTGTGTCATTTCTGAACTTTTTGGTTCTCGGGCATTGTTTTGCTGTATCTAGTTGGTCACAATGTAATGAAGAAATAGTTCTTTTCCAAGATATTTTGTATTGGATATTATGCAATTACGACATAACAATATATCAGAATTGCATTATCATCACATGTAACAAATGCTGAGAAATGAATATCAAAGAAGTAGTGCCAAATTGTTTTTGAAAGCAGTTATATAGAAAATATAAATTTATTATTTAAACAGAAATTACTAAGATGATTTGATGAATAACTACTGCATATATGAATATTTTTTATTAGAATATATTGAAATTTAAAACCAATATGGATATTGATTATACAGCTATTCTTTAATATAAATAATTGGGTACTTTTCTGTTTATGGGATGCCAGTCAATAAATTCGTCTTTGTGATTTTATTCAAGTTTTAATTATTTTATGTTTTATTAAATCTACTTGACTTTTATTACTTCTGTGCTTTTCCATCATGTCAATAAGATGACTGCATCGTGCGTCAGATTACAGTTACAACTGGTGTCTCATTAACAGAAAAGTACCAATAGTTGCTGCCATAAATAATTAATATATGTAAATTTAAAACGTGCAGAACTTGGCAAAATTTTTTTTTTAGACTCTGTGTTGGCACCCTGCAAGAGTTACATTTCATTCCTATACATATTATTAAAAACAAATATGAGATATGTCCAAGAATAATCTGTCATCAGAGAATCTACTGGAATATTTTCCATGTGGACTTCCCAAATAATCAGACATACCCAAAGAAGGTGTTGAATTTTTAAACATTTTCAGTCTCTGAAAAAACTTTGCCATTAACGAACCCTAGTAAAACTAAACTATTTTATAAATGTATATTCATGTATACATTTTATAGTATTATACTATTTTATATACTATATTATTATATATAACTATTTTATATATTTAATACAAACTATTTTATAAATGTGTATGTGCTCTCACATGCCGAATTGATTAACTCTATAAAATAAAAAATGGAGAAAAGTGACAAAGTAATATGTTTTTTTTTTTTTTTTTAAATTTCTTTTCTTTTTTTTTTATCGGAAATTCATCGGGATACGACGAAATTATTAACTAGAACACGGGCCTTTAGACGTTCGAGGCCCGAAGCCAGCCATTCTGCTCGAAAGCCCTATCTGAATCTGGCAAGACGCCATAGCGACGTTCCATTGGATGGACGTATACGGGACCTCCCCTGTCTCATTCGTCCAATAGCAGTCGGTCAACTCTCTTCCACTCTTCCAGTTATCTTAATTGAGAACAAATGTATAATAATTGGCAGAAATAAAATCTCTTCCATTATTTAATACTCGCGCCCATCGAGTCGAACCCAATTTGCAATTAGTCTCGACATTTTTTTTTTTTCGATTAACCAATCACTTATCCTTTTTCATATATAATTTTTAGATCTAGTATGCCACAATTTACATTTCCTTATTTTATTTGTTAATTTAAAAAAGAAAAAAAAAGTAAAACGACATTTCCTACACTCGCTTCTTAAGTATCAAACGTGAAGCTTTTTTCGATTAATTTCTCTATAAATTTTCCATTTATAAATTAATTCTAAATACGAGGTTCTCTGCATGAGGTTTCTATTTATTTTTTAAGCTTGATTTATTAAAAATTAAAAGAATTTTTCGGTTAATTCATCCAAAATGCGAGCTACTCTCTATGTGAAGTTTTCATAGAACTAATACCTAGTATGAGGTTTACATTTAGATTAATACTAAATGTGTGGTTATTTTGAATGAAATTTTCGTTAATTAAAACGTTATTTCATTAATTCTTTATTAAAATAAATAAATAAATTATTAAGATTTTTATTATAAATCACCACCAAGTATGAAGATTCTATTAGTGTCAACCGCGAGATGGCATATATTCGTATAATATATTCATAAATATTCATGTAATATAATATTTTCGAGGTATTACAATGAATAGGAATATTTCATATAGTGAATAAAAGCAAGTAAAACGAAGCTTAGTTGATAAAACATAATGTTTTTTTTTTGAAGAAGAAGAAGAAGAAGACACACTTCATCCGTGGGCTAACTGTGTTGACATAACTTTTAGTGTTATAAGGACATTATTACTAGAGAGGTATTGTAATTCTTCCCTTCCATTTTCAGTCGGGACAATGCACTGCTTGATAATGACCGAGGTTTACATAGAACCCATCTCCAACCATTGTGCACCTCCGAGGGTTCCTCTTCAAATGGATAGATTTTACTCGCTCTATTATGTTCTAAACAGCTTATTGCAAACTCAAATAGAACGGAGAAGCTGTTTCTATTCATCCTGCACAACAGATGCTGTTGAATGAAGTAGAGCCTGAAGCCACGATCGCTCTCGCAATATTAAATATGCGGCATAAAGAAATTATTTTCGACTTCACCTTACTCTCTTTCCAATTTGCATTTCAAGTAGCCTTCAGGCGACTGGTCTACAAATTTATATCTTTCAAAGGCTACAAATTATTTCGCTAAAGGAGACCGAAATTGTAGCCCACGAGACTACTTTTTTATATTATTATCTACCAAACAAACATTCTAAGTTGAATGCTTTTACGTGTTAAAAATATATATATATATATATATATAATCCTATATATTTGAATTTATTTAGATTTATAGAGACTTTATGAAGATTTTATATAGATTTTTAAAAATTTTAAACCATCCGTTTGTTTGTCGGTCAGTAGATATTTCAAATCCTATTTGGTTACATTCAGAGGAGAGTGATCAAAAGAAAAATCGGCAAAGCGGGTCCGCAGGACTTCTTTTTTTTTTTTTTTTGGACTGATGGGGTCTGCCACTAAATCCATTTGGGATCGAGGGAGCATGGGCAAGTAATGGACCGTCTGACATTCATTGTGTCATGATCTGACTGCAAATCCCCCAAGATCGTCCATTACCGTCTCATAAATTTCTAGACGGCCTGGTCCGTCCTTCTGTTTTAAATGACTGCTAATGGGACATCGTGTAGCCTTCTATTCCAAATATCTGGGTACGTTTCTCTCTTACATCCACTTCATTTACGTAAATATTTAAAAAAAAATCAATAAAAAGATTAAAAAAATATATTTAATTTAACATAATCTTTATTTATTTTAATGTTAATTAATACTATAATCTATAATATATTTACAATAATTAAAAGCTTAGTATTATTGATTTTTTTTTTAAACATAAAACGTCATTATATATTTATCATTTGAAACGTTTTAAAGAATTGTTAGTCCATAAGTACTTATTAAACAAATAAAAAAAAAAAAAAGAAAGAGAGAAAAATAAGGAAAGAAGAAAGCTTCCATCTACGATCAGTGACGTCAACTATTTGCTTGGTGTTTCGATCATTATGTTTGTCCGTCCAAGTGAAAGTAGTTGCAAAAGATAAAAAACCTCAACGCCTTTTCAAAATCGCGATTTGGAGCTATCCAAACTTTGGTATACGACTATGTATGCGGCCTTCAATAGTTGTCAGTTCCTATTTGATACATGTCGGCCCATCACGGAACGATAAGGTGTAATCCCCCTGTGAGACCAGCCATCGATGGAGTTGGTTCCTTGCTTCAATGCTTCTGACGTCCCTCGAGATCACCAACAGAGCTTCCCCCTAGACTGAAGCGACACTCCGTGAAATTTCCTAATCTGGGATGGAATCAGGATGCGCCATTTTTTTTTTCTTCCTCTTTCCTTTTTTTTTTTTTCTTTTTTTTTCCTTTAGCTCCTACTACTACTACTTCTACTGCTATCACTTCTCGGTCGTTTCGTATATAAGAGAAGAGCAACATCTTCGTCATTCCTCCATCTCTTCTCTCTCTCTCTTCTTGCAAGTGGCAAGCAAATTTTCTAAATCTGTTTTTCTGCATTTTTTGCTTAAAAAACCAATCTCTACAGCTATTTTCTTTTTCTTTTTTTTCTTTTTTCTAAATCCCGAAGGTGACGAAATGGTTCGTTATGTGGCAACGTGTTGATTTGTCTGTATTCGAGTTCAGTAAGGCTTGAAATCCGAAGTGTGACGAGTGAGAAGTATTTTTTTCCACTCAGATTTGTGGCTTTGAATGTTTCGACAGCAAAAATCCGTCGAGAAACTGTTCGAAATTACTTTAAAGCTAGAAAAAACTTCGATAGTAAAAAAAAAAATCAATCAAAAATTCGTTTGACGTTCTTAGTTTTGGATATTTTTATTTTTCTGTTTAGTCAATTCGGTTTTGTATATTTTTTTTTAAAGGTAAATAAAAACGGATATTTTCTTACTTATCTTATCTCCTCTTCTTCTTCTTCTTTTTCCTTCCTTGTTAAATAACTTGCTTATTTTAACGAGTTATCGTGAATCAAATATAACTTGTCAGCGTGAAAATGTTATATAAAAACATTATCTAAATGATGATATAATTTATTTTTATGATGTATTTAATACCTATTAATTCAAATATACCTTCAAAA